TCAAGAAACTAATAAAATTTTAGAAGAGAAGGTTAAAGAACGAGAAAAAGATGCTAAAGCCTTACAAGAAAAAATTAGAAACTTTGAAGAATTAGTTAGGAATCTAGAAGTAGAAGGCAAAACCATAAATGATTTAGAAATGAAGATTAGGGAGCGAGAAAAGGAAGTCAAAGCTGATAAAGAGACAATCATAAATTTAAGGAAAGAGATCGGAGAACGAGATGAAATAATCAAGGCCAAGCAGAAATCTATTAATGACTTGAAAGAAAAGATTAGAGAGCAAGGGGAAAAGACTACAGGAATTATTGATGAAAAAGAAATGATCAGAGAGCATGGAGAAAAAATGATTGCGCAAGGATTAGAAATTATTTATGATGATACTACTGAAAGTTTACTCATTACTAATGATAATAAAGATGACATTTTTAATACTCCAGGAGGACTGCAAAGATATCGAAAATTAACAAAACTCGGCTGCAAAATTTGTCGAATAAATTTCTTGCCAAATTTACCAGATTCCTTAAAAATACTCCAATGCTATGACACTAAATTAACTTGCTTACCTAATTTACCTAACTCCTTAACAGAACTTAATTGCTCACGTACTTCAATAACTAGTTTGCCGATTTTACCTGATTCCTTAAAAATACTAGTGTGCTTTGATACAAAATTAACTAGCTTACCTATTTTACCTACCTCCCTAAAAGAACTCGATTGCTCACGTACTCCAATAACTAGTTTGCCGATTTTTCCTGGTTCTTTAAGAATACTCAAATGCCATCATACTCCTATAACTAGCTTGGCATATTTACCTAAATCCTTGATATTATTATATTGTCATAATACTAACTTAACAAGCTTACCAACTTTACCTAACTCGTTACAAGAACTCTTTTGCTCAACAACTCGAATATCTTGCCTACAAAATTTACCTAAGTCCTTAACAGTTCTCCGATGTGATAATACTAAACTGACTAGCTTACCACCTTTATCCAACTCCTTGACTACTCTTTCATGTGAAAATACTAAAATAACCAAATTGCTAAATATACCTAAATCATTAACGGATCTTTCCCCTAAATTCTTGAATAGTAAAATTATTTGTTAAATTTTCTTAGTCCTTCATAGTGAATACAATAGTTTTTTTTACGTAAAATTTATTAGATAATCGAATTATTTATTTTTATTATTTATATTTTATTTCTATATCATATGATATGAATGAAAACAATAGCATATTTCTCATTTTAAAATCGTAATATTTCATAAATACAAATTTTTATTACTTAAAGGAAGATTAATCCAAAGCACTAGCTGATTTTTATGTATTGAATAGCAAAAAAATCTACAAAATAAAAGTTTTGGATTCAATAAATAATATTAAACGGAAATAATTATAAAATAGAAATACATAAAATATCTTTATAAAACTCTCTTTTTCATGACATTTTACTTCTTGATCAAAGTATAATAATCATACGGTCGTATAATTCAGATATTTGTTTATCTTGTTATAAATTCAAATTGGAATGTCTTTGGAATTTTTCATAGTTGGGCTATTCACGTCTCAAGCCATGAGAAATGATGAAATATACAACATTTTAAAATGAATCACCTTTTCAATAGAAAGAGGTGAAATTTCAAGTTGCCAAATATGTTTTTAAAGTTTTCTTCATGGAATAAATAAAGCATTTTATACGTTAATCAAGAATATATTCTTAAGCAAGATTATCTAAAATGGGATTTCTACAGGAAATAATATTAGAAAACCTGTATGTCAATCCTTACTTAACTCTATATAATTCAATAGTTTGAAATAAAAAAAAAAGCTGAATTCTTCAAGCTAGGTGTTTGCACATACTTAGCGCGATGCTTCGACGTTAAAGGTAATCCGCGTATTATTAACGAGACCATGTTTACATACCGAAAACTTCCGGGTTCTAAATCTACGGTTATTAAATACTTCTAGCAGGATTTGATATTTCAAAACAAAATTTTTTTTTTAAAGTATTTGTTAGTTAACTAAGAAAAATCATGCCGAAAAATTTTGTAACATTTTCTTAATTTTCTACTTTTTTTAAGCGCGGATTGAACTAATCAATTATTGATTAGTTATAGAAGTGCTTGATTATTGATGGTTGAAAGCAAATAAAAATTGTTAACAAAGTTGATGCAGAAAACGTGCATATTTATTTTTGCAAATTCGAACACTAATTGCGATGTGGTATTATCGGATGTTTAACTTATGTATGCATCAAATAATGCAACAGAATTAAGAACATATAACGACCGGATGATTATTTTTATTTTATTTCTTTATTTAAAGTTCTTCTCTCGGCTTTAAAATAGAATAATTACTAAAGTAACTCGTAAAGGTGGAGTACCTTTCTATTTTCTTCCTGTTGTAATCAAAGAATTAAAAGAAAAAAAGTGAATGTGTGAATGTATATACGGTATATGTATGTGTTTAACATGATCTAATCGAATGAATATTCCACATTGGTTAAATTCCGGGCCGTTTTATTGTATGAAATTATCGACATGAATCATATGGGATGTCTATAGAATTAAAATCATCATCAAATTTAAATGTCCATTTTATTGGACCTAATTTTCTTGGCAAGTCATTCCCATAGGTTGCGTATTATTTTATTTCCTTAAACTGAGGCATGTGATATACGACATCATTTAACAGGTTCTTGAAATCGTCCTGATATTCATCTATCTCAATCGAATCACATCATAAATTAATTTATAAGCAAACATTATTCGAAAAAACAAAAACCAAATTAAATGTATGTTTGAAATAAAAAAAAAATTGGCATTTTTTTAGAATAAAAAGAAATAAAAAAAGACGTGAAACAAAAATCATTCTCAAAAGTTGAAAAGGGGAATATATAATTTATTTTCCTTTTATTTACAATAAACAAAATTCCATGTATGTATTGTAGGGTGGATCGGCAAATTCTAATTTGGGACCATAAAGAGAACCTTGAGATATAAAAACTCCCGAAAAATTTATACTTTTTTTATTTTTTTTTTCTCCCGGTACATTATTTTTATCTTACGATACTCGATTCCTTTTTTTTTTTTTATACCTCACTCGTAATAACACTCAAACAAATCATAATTTTCAATTAATCATGTTAGAGCAAACGTCACATGCTTGTACAAACTTGGGAAAAGTCGCCCTCAATAAAAAGAAAGAAAATTATCTTGATCTTGGACATAATTACAGATTAGGAAGAGACGGATTTAAGAAGGATGAAAAGAAAGCATTCGAGATTTATAAAATCTATCGGATGTTGGAGACGTTGAAGCGACATTTCAACTCGGCTATTGTTTCGACTATAGAATTGGTGTGGAAGTGGACGCAAAGAGAGCCTTCGAATTATATAAAGTTTCGGCGGATAAAGGTTACGTTCAAGCA